AATAATTATATTTTTATAATTTTTATAATTTTTTATATAAATATTTTATAATAGTAATACGAATATATTTGAAATTAAAAAAAAAAAACTCTTTCCCGTTTATCAATTTTTGAGAAAAACCACAGTAAAATTTTAAACGAAATAGTTTTAGTTTTATTTTAACTTGAGTAATAATCAACCGTGTTATAATTAACATGGGCGATAAACCCTTTGAAAGACCTAGGAGAACTGGTGTTAATTACACCAGGACTCTCAATATTAATCTGTTATCAAATAAAAACAAATTTAAATTCAATCCTATCGACAAGAAAGAAAAATTTTTAAATAAAAAACTTGATGCAGAAAATACAACAGTAAACGTAAAATAGACAGTAGAAACATTGAAAAGTAAACTAATTCCTAAAGTTACAATTTTATTGAAAAATAATAACAATGACTCGAACAAAGACCAAACTACTGAAGAAATAACAGATGTGGAAGAAAATGGAGAAAACGAAGAATTAAACGAAAACTAAGAAAACAGTGATACAACTGAATGGACGGAAGTAGTAAAGAATAAAAATAAAGGAAAAAGTAAAGAAAAAGAATTACCTAATGAAGACAACACAAATGAACAAGAAGAAATAAAATCAATCGCATCCTTTGAAACTGAAATGACTACCAAATTGGATGGCACAACTTACTAGAACCATAGCTAATAAAATTTTGGGAAAAAACCTAAATGAAAAATTGGAAAATGTTAGTTTAATCCTGAAAAAACAGTCTGTGGTAATCAAAATATAAACAGAATCATTCAACAATAGAAAAATAATTGCAACGTATTATGACAATAAAGAAGAAATGAAAAAAGGAAAAATATGCGATGTAGGCGGACATACAAATAAGCCAACTTACATGCATAGGGCTAAAATTTTTAAACGCAATTCAGATAAAAAAATGCAAAACGGCGTTAAACTGTGGGACGTACCTTTAGGATTTAGAAATAAGGATATTAAATAAGAATTAGAATTAAAGTTTGGAGAAATTACAAGAATTTCTTTAAGAGTAAATAACATATGGCAATCAGCTGTCATTATTTTCAAAGAAAAAAGTAATGCACAAAAGTTACTTACTAATTGGAGTATCATTATTGGAGAAGATTCTCTCAGAATAACACAATTAGATCAAACAATTGATAATCTTAAATTACGTGGTCAATATGCAGCAAGGGTAATCAGTTTGTCCAATAGTATTACAGCAAGAGAATTGTGGCCACATATCGAAAAATTGGAAGCAAAAACTTGTTACTTTTCAAGAACAAGAAACTACAGAAAGAAAGGTAAAGCTATTATCTCTTTTCAAGAGGAAGAAGCTTGCGAAAATGCTTGCAATGCAATATGGGAAGGTGGTGATCTCAATATTAGAATTGTAAATATTCAAACAAAAAAATGCTATCGTTGTCATAAAATGGATCACTTTGTCACTAATTGTCCTCGTAGAACTCAGGACCACAAATACAAAAACAAAGCAGCAGAAAGAATAAAAAAATTTGGTGCAATATACAAACAATACAATTCAAAATATTTTAAAAATATTAATAAATTGGTTGGAGGACAAACATACGCAGATGTAATTAAAAAAAATAATAATAATAATAATATAAAAAAAGTGAACTTAAATACCACAAATGATCAAAAACTAGAAAGAATTGAACAAGTTTTGAACGAACTTTGCGAACATTTAGAAATCCTAGAACATTATATGATGAATACAACAGAAGAACAGATTCAAGATTAGACTTCAGAACAGGAGGAAGATGAAGAAATGATAGACGAAGAAGTTACGGAAAATAATGATAACACCAATAATAATGACAAATCAAAACCAAGTAAAAAACATGAAACAAATAACAAACTAGATAAAGTTATCCTTACAATGTAACAAATTATAAACAGAATTGAAACAATTGAAACGAGAGTAGGATCAACATCGACTTTCTCTGGATCACAAATTTCTGAAAGCAATATTGGTATATATAACCAATAACATTTCTTGATTTTAAAATTTTAATAAACTATTATGATGGAATCAAATAATAATAATAATAATATCAATAATAAAAAAGATAATAATTAACATAAAAGAACAAACAATTCTTATAATAGTTTAAAGGAAGATAATGATAATAATAATACTAATAATCAGAATAACTATATAGATAATAAGATAATAAGCATAGTCACACATAATATAAGGAGTTTCGGAGATTATATTAAATACGAACTTTTATATAATCATATTAAAAATAATAAAATAGATATCATAGATATCGCAGAAACAAGTTGTAAAGAAAATAATGAAAAGTGGTTTATAGATGAAGGAAAAAAGTATAGAATACATTGGTCCTCTGATGGTATGGGTATGGGAGTAGCAATAATAATATCAAAAGATATAAATAAATACATATATAATATCCAAAAGTTTAAAGGGAGAGTAATATATGTGGATATGGCACTACCAAAAAAAACCACAATACGAATAATACAAATATACTTATTAAGTAAAAAATGTGAAAATGAAGAAGTAATGGGAAAAATCAAAAACTGGATTATACAGGCACAACAAAAAAACTACAAGTTAATTATAATGGAAGATTTCAATGTAGTCCCTTCACCAAATATAGACAAAAATAATAATAGCTAATCACAAATACCAGAGAGTGAAATCTTTTCATTTTTGACCAGTAGAGAACTTATCGATTGTTATAGAACAATGCATCCTGAATCTAATGGTTTCACGTGGCAAAGAGATAATTCAACTGCTAAAAGTCGCATTGATGCAATATGGATGTCAAAAAAATGGGGAGGAAAAATGGAATCGTGTTATGTTGATAATTTAAAATTAATAACAGAAAGTGATTATAAGCTGGTAGGCCTTAAAGTTAGGAGAAATTGACAAATTTGTGAAAAAAAAACTGATATTATAAATAATGGTCTTAGATATAATATTAAAATAATGTGTGAAGAAAAATGATTAAAATTTATAGAATACGTAGAGAAAAAAATCAATATATCAACAATAGAAGAAAGGGGAAGGAGATATGGGGTGTCAATAAACTCAATGGAAAAAACATGGAAAACTCTTAAAAATATTATGATCGAAGGAGCTGATCATGCAATACCAAAAAAACGGAAAAAGAAGCATAATAAAAAGATAAATAGAAATGTTGCTGAGAATATGAAAAAAGTAAAAAGTTTTAATAAAATATACCGTTTTATAAAAAAAGAAAAAGCCAAATCTTTGTTATATATAAAAAATTACGTAATTTTCAAAAGAGAGATACATAAGTTGTCCATATTCAATTTTAGAATAAAAAAAATTATAAAAGAACAAAACACGTGTGAAGACTTAATCGCAGCTCTTAGAAATGCAAATCTTGATTTTCAAAGCGTTGCAAGGGCAGAGAAAAAGAAAGAAATATTAAAACAAATACAAGAAGCAGTCAAACGACGATGGGAAAATCTTAAAGAAAATTCAAAAAGAATGATTAATAGTATTCTAGATAGACAACGTAAATCGATTGTTATGGATTGTATAATTAACGAAAATGAGGAGGGAAATATTAAAATCATCACAGATAGCACAGAAATTAAAGAAGTAGTAAAAAACTATTTCTATAACTGGACTATCTTATAGAAAAATAGAAGACAACATATAACCTTAGAGACGAGATCGAGGAAAAATAGTATCTTCCACTATTAAGAGAAGTAAACACAAAAGAACTGATACAAACTATTAACACATTACCAAATAACAAAGTGCCAGGGCAATTTAATTTGCAGTATGAATGGTTCAAATACCTTCCACTTAATGGGATTGAAACTTTGAAGGATATACTTAATATGTCAATCAAACTAAACGATATTTCAAGAGACTGAAAATTAGGATATATATACCTGATATCTAAAACTAATGATTGAGGAAATAACCTTAATATAACAAGGCCAATTATACTCCTTGAAGCAGGACGAAAAATATTTATGAAGATCTTAAACAATAGATTATCAACTATCTTTAATAATAATAAAATCTTATCAAAATATAACTATGCTGGTTTACCAGGGGATGACACACAAAAACCTATTCACGTGATAAATAATATAATAGAGGATGCCAGGGCAAATAATAGAGAACTTTGGATTATGTTTTAGGACATGAGCAAAGCTTTCAACTCAGTTAATTCTAATTGTCTATTGCAAGCATTACATAGAATCAAAATTCCTGTTGGTTTCATCAATATTTTTGAAAAATTAGCACATAACAGAGAAAATATAATATTAACTATGCATGGTAATACTGAATCGTATAAAGTTGGAGATGGAATAGATCAAGGAGATATAATATCACCACTTCTATGAAGAATCTTCTATGATCCTTTAATTAGTAAAATTGTAGAATCGAAATTTGGTTATAAAATGAAAGAGAACTGGATCAGCAATTTACGCTTGGACACACAAAGTAATTTGATATTAAAAATGTCAGTGGCAGCATATGTAGATGATACAAACTGGTTTGCATCATCTAGAGAACAAATGGAACAAATTCTTGAAATAGCAGATGAATTCTTTATTATGAATAATATTACAATAAACAAGAGTAAATCGTATTTAATAGCAATCAACACAACAGCAACTAACAGGGAAAGAGAGGTGAAAATAGGAACAGAAACTTTAAAACCAGTGGCAAAAGACTTTCCAGTTAGGTCTCTGGATATTTACATTACTGAAAATAGTTCAAAAAAATTTCAAAGAGAGCGACTCAAAAAATTAACGGATTATTTGGCAAATATACTAAGAGGTAAACCTATAACTGATAAACAAGCAATATATATTTTTAATATGGTAGTAATCCTTATTTTAGAATATAGCTTAAACGATATGACTTTAACAGAGAATAAATATCTTAAAATAACAACTCGTTTCATATCAGTTATTAAGAACAAAGCCCTATTAACTCGCACAATACCCAATGCATTAATACATGCCAAAGAAGTATATAATGTTTGTAATTTATAGGAAAGACAATTTCAAATGCACAGTAACAATCTTCTTATCCATTTAAATGATAAAGGAGCTATGGGATTTTCTACATGAATACGATTACAGTACTTACAAAATATTTTCTGGTCAAAAGAATCTATCCTAGAATTGACAGAAATTCTCAATACACTGAGAAGTCAGTCTTTGATTAATGATATTTTGAAAATTTGCAAAATAAACAATATTACATTTAAGATGTCTAAAGAAATAGTGGAAAGTATGTTAATAAAAGGAGGAAATGTAACTATTGAAAAAATACTTCATGATCATGATTGCTATTTTTAAATATAGGAAAAGTTTTAGAACTCGACAAATAATGTTTTTAGAACAATTAACATCATATAATGATAACCATCTATTATTTTGACAAGGTATAACTGGAAATGAAAGACGAGATCCTAAACCTGGATGGTTTAAATTAATCGAAAAGAAACTTTATCAAATTTAACAGGAAGACAGATCTCTGATGAAGAAATCAAAAAGAGATTGAGAGACAAATATAACACCTGTGAAAAAACATTGACAAACAAAATAATGAAATAAAATGTGTAGCAACTCAAAACTCCAATAATCAAAGTGTAATCATCAGAAAAAGACGCAAAATGATAAATAACCATAAACTCATTCTAACACATTATATCAGAGAAAGAAATATCAATGGGGAAGAAACTTCACCACTTAAAAAATGTCAGGACTGTATACAAGGAGATAATAATTTAACAAATGATCTTAGAAACAAAAGTATATGCTTAATCAAAGTTGGTATTCCACAAACAGTAAACATTAATGTAATTAAAAGCAAGGTTTTCAGTAGGTCAATACCTGAAAGGAAAAATAAACTATGTCTACAATCTGAAATGGGAGCAATTGAATATGGGTTAAATAATATCCTAGCTAAGCAACAGATATGTCAATCAAATATATCACATTTGTTATCAAACATAAATATCGATAAGACTACCAATAATCATGGAAAAATATATGATAAATATTCAAACTTTTGGTCAAATAATGAAGTCCAAGATAAATTAGATCAAATTCGAACTTTATTATCCAATAACAAAGAGATCAAAATATACACAGATAGCTCATTAATAGAAAACAATAATAATAGCAAATCTCAACGAACAGATCAAAAATCAGTAATGAGGTGTGGATGGATTGCAATTGCTATCAACAATACAAAATTCACATTTAATGGTAAAGTCGAGGATTTCATATCATCAACTAGAGCAGAAATCATGGCTGTACTAATTGCAGTTTACGTGACACCAAGGTAATCAAATCTTAAAGTCTTTACAGATAGCCAGGCAACAATTGATACTTATATAAATATTACGAAAAATGATAAGAAAAATTGTACAAAAGTTAAAAATTGGACATTACTCAAAGCAATAAATGAAATCGTCTTTATACAAAAGATTAAATTAGAATTCATTAAAATAAAGGCACACTCAAGAATAGAATATAATGATCTAGCAGATAAACTCGTAAAAGAAGGCCATAACAAACCCAACTGCAGTTCAGACCTACAAATATTAGTATCAATATCAGTAAATTTTAATAAGCAAAAATTTTTGAAAATTTACATTATGTTAAATTTCCGTAATATTACAGGACCCATGAAAATTTATGGGATTCTGATGGAATTTTGACATTGATATAAATTTACGAAATTTTATATTGATGTAAATTTAAGAAATTTTGTATTGACGTAAATTTATGAAATTTTACATTGATGTAAATTTACGAAATTTTACATTAATGTAAATTTACAGAATTTTATATTGATGTAAATTTACAGAATTTTGTATTGATGTAAATTTACAAAATTTTAATGTTAATATAAATTTTTTATAATAAAATTCTAAAAATTTCAA